GCACTTTGATTCTCCATGAGTGAAGACACAGAACTGATTATCGACCCGGGCAACGACTAGAAATGGGCCATGAACTCAAGCACAAGATGTCCTGGATGACACATTGGAGATAAGGCAGCACCGAGAGCATATAGAGTGCTGCACGGAGAGCATATAGAGTGCTGCACGGTACGTCTTGCCGTACGAGACTTTGTATAATCGGGAGTGTCCATAGCTCGCAGTTTCCCGTCCAGATCAGATACGTATTTAGATGCATTGCACAGCATTTGACACCGTGGGATTCACCTGGTACGACCTAAAGGCGGCCTCTTTATTCGTTCTTGTTTCATAAAACTTCTCTCGAGCGCTAACATGCTGACTTTCCGCAATCCGCAACGAACAAAGAGAACAAAGACCTTTTATAGGGATCATGTACGCATGCAAATCGACTCCTGGTGTCATACCTGGTGGATTTCCTTCATTCCTGATCAGATGAGAAGGAACCCCACAATTCTCCAGAGTACAGGTACACCCGTTCGCAGGGGTTGCCCCCCTTTAACTATGAATTCCTTTAAACTAAAATTGGGGGCGAAAGTTCCAATTTGGAATTACGTCTTCCTTCGTCGTGCATGGCCAAAACGGCATGAAGCCTCTGCCCACGTATAGAATTTAGTTCACTTCTGGTCTCTTTCCCTCTTTACTATTGGGTTGGATCGAGGCATCTTCCCGTGCATATCTCGTGCAGGAACACGGCGGCAGGTGCATCATGCGACAGCTCGTTGGGATGTGTATCATATTAATATTTCACGCCACTGTATCTCTAAATATTCATGTCATGCACCGAGAGGGAATAGGAGAAAGAGCTAAGGGAAGACGGGGATTTCCCTGTTGAGGCTCTCATCCCGTCTCTGATTCACTCGCCCCGCTCCGCCCATGCAGGTGCTTTCGTGCGCGGATCTGAATGATAACCCATGGTTATGAGATTTGCAGCCACCAGCTGAGGGGTAAGACGAAGAGATAGGACTATTTGATTATTACTGTTTCCCCCCCCCCCCCCCCCCCCCCCCCCCCCCCGCAACCCTTCTCTCTTCTCACCCTCTTCGTCCCTTTCCTGAACTGCAAGTGCCATTTCTGACAACCGACAAAACTCTTTCTTCGTTGGTTCTCCAGTTTCCCATACTCATTTCCTATGGGAGAAAAAAAAAAAACAATTGCTCGGCCTAAAATGCACGAAATCGTGTTGAAATCCTCAGAATAATGTCTGAAGCCAAGACATCTGCAGAATATCTGCAGTGAGAGAAGCATTGAATAAAGTCGATTCCGTGCGGTTTTTATCTGATATATACGGTGAAGCTCTGTAGCTGGGAGCGTGTCTCAACTCGCTGTGTGATTCGGCAAACAATCTCGGATGCTTATCCCAGTCTTCGGCTTTTCCTAGACTATCTCACGCCTCGGGAACAGGTCAGCTGCACATGTAGCATACGGACACACGGGCGTACACAAACACGAAGACTCACCCGCTAGTGTATAGCAAAAAAGTATATTATTTCAAAGAAGCGTCTCTGCAAACCCGCCTGCCTTGAATCAACCGTACGAACATTGATCCAGTGCAGATTAAATGTAAACTCAGTGTTATACGCCACCGGGGTGTTATGGCCTCATGTGACTATATTCACGACGAGAATCACTTGCTCGAAAGATGGTCTTTATGAACTACCGTAACAATACTTACACGTACCAAGGTCTACTTTTCGATTCTCCTTCGGACGTACGAATATCCGATCCCACCATCATCAAATTAATCCGGGAATAAGTCTAGAGACAAGACAGTTGTACACCGGCCCTTGCAATCCAAAAGGAACGCGTCGGCACATTCGAAGGGGAGAGCCGGCAAAAGCCAACTGTCCTCGGTTCCATGTCAAAACATCGAAGCAACAAAACATCAAACGACAGAATAAACACGACATCGTCTATATTCTCCCGTTTAAACATCGTTAAACATCGACATGCCAATTTCTTTTCCTCGGATTTTTTTCTTTCAGATTCCTAATGTTACATAACTTCCGAAGAGCCTTGCTGCGATCGTCTATCAATCCAGGATGACCGACGGAAGACAGGTGGAGGATGACATCGTGGCTTCAGCAAGCATTTTGGAGCTATTCATTCGCCTACAATGTACTGTATTGTTCATTTTTCCCTGAAGATTATTTGCGAGTAATGTTGGATGGATTTGAGTTCAAATGAGATATAAAACACAGATTCAAGACCAGGAGTGGAACAAGACGATTGAGTAATTTTTCCGATTTGAAATTCTAGATAAGGACTCCAGCACAACACAGTCGATTGTCTTAATCATCTTGCTGATTGTCCACATAAACACTTCTGTCACATCACAACCCCTGTCAATTGTCATAATCACTAAGATCAAGAGGTGGTGCAAATGTAGTTCCGCAATCAAAGTCATCATTTTCTGGAAACACTTCCACGAAGGAATAAGCAATGAACGTGTCATGTCCTCTTGGTCAAGAGTTTTGACTGGGCATTTTTATTCAACTGATAAAAGAAATAGACAAAATGAGTGGGTTCATAGCCGCATCACCACATGGCTACAACTGAAATATTATGTGGTCAGACAATATCAATCCATTATGGCTGACATCGTTTTTTGGTCGCACGCATTTTTCCTCAAACGGTGTCAAGACGTATTAAAACGCCAAAGTTCAAAGTCCACTAGATGCAAGGACATCCCTCTGGCCTGGTGGGAGCTCTTTCCTTTGAAGGGCTTGGCAGTCAATGTGTTACGGTTATATTCCCACTTTGCTCAAGGGTCAGTGCGGACCTACACCACTTCCATTCTCAGCTGCGTCGCATCACATAAAAGTTTCATGGGCTTGAGATGGATTGAAGAACTGTGATCTGAAGAGGCATAGGACTGTAGGCCAATCAGCTGCGTGAAGCAATTACGAAATTACGAAGCCTATGACCTGGAAAGGCGAAGGCTGATAGACTTGAACTACACGATGCCGAAGCGCGCCTAGCTTATGATCTGAATTCGATAAGCCTTGCATGCCACGCTGTAAAAATTGTTTGTAAGTTTCCGCTCGTTAAGCGGAATATTTTCCGGTTAACAGATGAAATGCAAGAATTACATTTGTTATCAGAATATTTTTCCCTGACGAAGCGGAAAGAAGGGTTTTCGCTTTGAAGACGAAGAATACTCTCACTTTAAGATGAAAATTACAGGTAAGGAGGGGAATCTGTCTAGTCCACTGAATACTCGGAAATTTCGAATGGAATTTTACTCTTAATATTCCGAAAACTGGTTTTTCGTCTAATGGGGGACTTACCCTTTTTACCGACTTGGTAAAAGAAATGATTCCCCTCCTTAGTGGAAATTTTCCTTTTAAATAGACAGAAAAGAGGGCAAGACACTGAGCCCCTTTTCTTCCTTCACATTCCTTGGCTTAGTACCCCCTCTCCACTCCTCTCCTCCCTCTGCGCCCACCTTTTCCTCCCCCCTCCGCGTGTCGATCTGGCTTAAGCTCTCATTGTTAAAAATGTATATTTCCTCCCTTCACTGAGTCGACGATTCCCAGAAAAGCCAAGGAAAGTTAAAAGTCAACCGAGTTAAATCATGAGGGGGGCGGGCTACAATAATCGCTTCAGGTCACCAGGGTCCTGATCGACGGGTTTGTCCTGCGCTGTCTGTAGTTCGACCTTGCTGAACCAATGGAACTGAATCGAACAATAGAGAAGAGATTTGGAGGATAAGATTGAGGAAATTCATTTTTCTTTAATCTTATGTCTCAATATGGACCTACATGGAGAGGGAGAACAGAAAATGTCAAGAATTTGCCTTTTTTGTCAGCTCTGTCTCTTCAATTCTCACGATTTCACATGCAGATAGAATCCGTTATCAATGAATGGCCTCCATATCGAAAAAAATTGAATCTCCTCTTCCCTATTTCTCGGCCATGCAAGCATCAAAGAATATTTTCTCTTAAGTCATTTATACCGTAAATACATATTACATTTAACTAATCATATTTTGCAACTACCATAGTACCATATGCTACACGTTTTGGGCCGGGGCACTGAGTTGCTGAATCCACGATCTTAACAGCTACATTTCTCCCTTTTCTTCTGCGAACGATGTCGTGCAAGAGAGCAATTTCAGCAGGACAGTAATCCTGATTTACTGTTTGACCCACTGTTAGAAACCCACGACGCTTGACACATCCAGCATCAGAGAGGTGATGAGCAAGACTTTGACCCACGAATGAACCGCGTGCATCCGCTTCCGCCCACCTCACCTCACTGCAGCAACTTCGGACTACCCGCGCAATCCCCGTGCTTCAGCATCCACTCAGATTCATGGATCATTGTTTCTTCGTGATTTCTTCTTGCTCCGAATAGGAATATGGACAGGTGCGATGCATACAGCATTTGAAGAGAATGCGGGAAAAATTGTACGGATGCTAGAGGAGATGAACTCGAAGGAAACAGCATTTAGTACTCATGAAGTAACCTGAGCGTTATGAAATATTCAGTCTTTTTCATTTCGATGACATTTTGATGACACTTCATAGACGAGTCAGAGGAAAAGGTATGAGAAACTTCAATGTTTGAAAACAGCAATCTTCAATGGGGATCAAAATTGATGGAGGGAGGAAACCTCATTGCTTTTATCGTGGTTTCCCACTGTAGGTATTAGAATACGGATGAGATGCTCGTTACTTTTCTAAAATTCATATATCATTGGTAAATATAAAATGTTTTCATAATCAGATCAAGTCATCAAATTTGTTTTGGGTTATCTGAAAGCATGAAAAGGCTGGTAATTTTTTTGCTTTTAAGCTAATTTCGGAACTCCGTGACCAAATTGTGTGCTTTACTCACAATATCATTGAAATTTTGGTGTTAAAGACGTTACTAACATGATTTTCTGGAAAAATATTATGGTAACAAGGCCTAATTTTTCCTAGCAGAAAAACCGAGTGAACAATCCGCAGGCGTGAGTCATGGCTACCCATGGTGCAGCAGTGTCAAATGTGATGTTTGAGCACCTGGAGAAAATTCAAGAGCATGCAAAATTTGATAAAATCTTGTTAGGACTGAGGAAAAGGAAAATAATTGGGAACACTGACTACAATGAATTGATCAGGAAGGAACCAAGGCAGCAAGGGATTTCCCTCGTGGAAACCATAAGCAGGGGTGGAGATAATGCCTTTCTAGCGTTGTTGGAATCCTTCTGCGAGAGCGGCGACAGTAACTTCGCCAAAACATTGCTGGCGTCATTGGAGAAGGAAGACAAGGAGTATGCAACGAGTCTTCGCTCTGGTAAGTAAAAGTCTTTCAGAAATGTTGTCAATGGTCGTTTCGTTTGTTTCTTTGTAAGAACACCAGAACTCTCGAAAGACGCTTCAATCTTTTGTCATTCAACTTCCTTATAGTACAATGGACCGATGCAGAGTTAAAAATACCTTCAAATGAATTCCTATTCCTATCTCAACGTAGTATCTATGCACGGAATACTGCAAATTAAAGGAAACCTTACATATGCAGAGCGTGCTCGTAGGCAGACGTTTCCTAATGCAGCACATTTATCTGAAAATTCTAGGCGAAGGCTCTAAAACAGCGATATAAACTATTTAAAGTGCGTTAAAAAGTTTCCCAGCGAACTTTAAACCAAATGCTTTCGCTTACGCGGAATCAATTTTTTAAATAGAAACTTTCACTGCATATCTTTGCAAGTCTAGTGCATCTGGTAATAAAAGTTCCACCCGAATACAGGGTCTTTCTAAATTAGGTCGCAATTTTGAACAATTATATCTTTGAAATGAATAGAGCTGTGAGTATGAAACAAAGTGCATTCTATTGGAAGACAATGGAAGTTTTCTTTCGCGTGGTTAGTTGTCCTATCTCCCGTGTATAGCGCTGACCACAGTCGTGAAGTAAAATGGCTGATATCGCAGGAAGCGAGGCACTAGATCACCAGATTTGACCCCACCAGGCTTTTTCCTGTGGGACTATATCAAGGATGAAGTGTACCAGCCCCCCCCCCCCCCCCCTACCACGAACCGTTCATGAACTGCGAGCACGGATTGTTGCAGTTGTTGCCACGGTTAACGCTGACATACTTACTCGTGTGCTGGAGGAACTCTTTCACAGATGGGACATTGTCCGCGTTACGCGATGACACCACATTTGTGAAATATGTTATCGGAAAAATTTTCAGGCCTTTAGTAATGAATTGCACTTTGTTTCATATTTACAGCTCTATTCATTTCTGAGATATAATTGTTCAAAATTGCAACCTAATTTAGAAAGACCCCATATTTCATGGCTGAAACCAATACTACCAGTTCAATATTAAGTTAGGTCCAAGGAATGAACAGGTGCTCCTGATCGTAGAGGTTGCGGAGGAAGCGCTCAAGCTCCGTCCTGCCTGGTCATCAGGGCAAGATGGAACCTCTCTTTAAATTCATTAATTTCGTTTGGTCGGTTTCATCAGATTATTCTCATTCCCGTTGAAGAGTGGATGAATCCGTCAGTCCGGAGAGTTTCCTCAAAAGTTCACGCAGAATTTTCTTTCACTTATGGAAAGCACAGTTTACGTGAAATAAATGGAATGAAAATAAAGACCAGCAACTTTCAGTGTCAATTTTGGGAATCCATCAATGTTTTGCCATATTTGTTCAGAATCCTATTTATTCCGACAAAATATAACAATTTCAACATTTATGAACAATTCAGATTTTGAAGAAGACAAATATTACTCCACTGAAAAAGTGCGAAGAAGTTATGAGAAAAGTAAATATTTTTATTGAGACAGACAGACGGATCATCAGGCGAGTAAGTAATGAAAACGTGTCAACCAACGGGAGCGACGTTAAACATGAACTGCCTGTGCATCGGGTATACCTCATGTTGGTGTTTCTGGCCAAGGGGCCTTACAAGCCCAATGGGAATGCATACACTCGAATAGATCAGTTGCATGTCATTCTTATCGCTAAGCACATGTTAGAAAAAAAAAACTTATTATTGCACGCTGGAATTGACACATCACCATCAAAATTTTTTCTTTCTCCGCTGCAGCCCTGGATGAACGCCAAGAATCAGCTTCCTCATGTCCTGAGGATTCTTCACGTATCATCTCCAATCCAGAAATAGATGTTTCACCAAATACTTCCGCTCCTCAATTTCAGATGTAAGTAGTTATTGCTGGTTTCCAAGGAAAATGGACTGAAATTCTATTTTCTGGCCTTTTCTTGGCTCCACAAAAACTAGCTCAAAAAGAATAATATCCATCTCAACTTAATAAAACGGATTTAGACGATAATCAGGTAATTATGGACGAGGTCATCTTTGGAGAGGACGAGGGCATGCATAAACTAACTGGAATATGCCGTGATTGCTCGCGTTATATTCGAACTTTTCTTTATATATTTGCCCCCAAAAACTGGAGGACGTATCAGTGATAACCGAGAGTCATAATTGTATTAAAAAATCATAAAGTGCACGAAAATAATGATGAAACGATACAAAACGAAGATCGCATGCCCGTTTTTGATCAAAGATATTGCTCGTATAACTCGTGAAGCGATGCTGAAGGAGTTGGCAGACTATCATGAGTTTACTGGAAGTTCGTGAAGCTTGAACACGAAAGAAAAAAATCTTCAGAAATCTTCGACAAATACAGAATCCAACAAATCCAAGTCCCATGCCTTTTAAATTATCCATCAGTTATGCAAGATCACGATCAGTTTTGAAAATGCTGAACTCAGCTCCAATTGTGTTACTCGGACAAAGAAGAATATTTTTTGGCTTCAAGGCGAAATAAAAAAAATTTGTAAACTTCTCTACAGCAATTAGGAAGTAAAATGACAATAAAGGTATGTGCTAACCATTTCTCTGCCTTTGGAGGGGAATTAGGCTGAGATGGGAAAATGGTGACAAGTGGGTGACAATGGTGACAAGTGGGTGAGACACATGCAGTATTCCACTAGTTCAGATGCAATGTTGGCTTTGTGAAACTCGATTTAAATTTCGTATAGAATTCAAAAGGGAGAGTAATGAGCCAAAACATGGGAATCTTTAAACCTTCACATTTGTACCTCAGGTCTAATTCGCATAATTAACACTTAATTTGACCCAGTCTTTATTGTTTTGTGGTGAATTAGGAACCAATCGGCAAGTACGAGGGGGGTTCAAGGTCCAATGGCACTTTATTTTCCACAGAACAATAAGAAATACATAAATTATAGATGTTCTTTAGGTGGGTGTTGGAGCCAACGGAGGGCAAAATTCTGGACTTCGTTGGTTTTTTAATTTCTTACCAGACAAAGGTTTCTTTAAAGGTCCAAACTAATGAAAGTCACATGGGGGAGAGATCTGGACTGTAGGGGACTGTTCCAAAATCTCGAAACCCAGTTGGTTCATTTTGAAACGCCCACTTTCTGTTTTGTGAACACCCCCTCTTAACAGTCCTATCTACACGGAAAAATATGGAGAGAGCGGTGCGAGTTCAGCGGCTAGGTCCATATAAAAAAATAAAAGAGTATGATCAATATTCAGGCCATTTTCAGATTCCTGAAAAATCGAACATCATTTATTCAAATTATGAATTCAATCATAAAAGTGTTTATCGAAAAGCTTCCAAACATACATTTTGTGGATTTTGCTTCATTTTCCCCTAAACTCTGGAGGAGAATTCCCCTTTCTCCTTTTCTGAAGAAATTTACCTCTTTCCTCGCCTTAATTGACAATGTCCAGGAGTGAGCCATCTTCCTCTATTTCAATGAAAAAAAAAATCCAATAAAAATATATCGTGATGAGATCGGAAAGAAGCATGCAACCAGTTTTCCTTCTCCCTCTTTACCACGTAGAGGTTAAGTTCCTCTTCAAAGATACATGCACAGGTTAGCGGTTATGGAATGAATTATGAACTGAAATTTTAGTGGCCAAGAAGTATTACCTAAGCAATTCATTGACAAGGACATGACAATGACAATGACAAATCATTGACATCAATTTTAAATGGTATAGCTATGAATACATGCAAATACGTAGAGTTTTGAATTTGTAGTGCAGTCGAAGTGACTGAGTAATATGGAGAAAGAGACCCGATTGAAAGATTATAAAATAATTAAATTAAAACTTTGACAAACCTCCACGTTCAAGTTCAGTATCATTAAAGGAAATCAAATTTTGTCTCGTGACAGAAACTTTAAGTTGACACTGAAATCATGCAATGACCTCCAACAGGTCCATTTTAACTTCTATATATATGGACCATGATTTCTTCTCATTCACTTTGTTCTAGGCAGGCTAGCAGGAAGCGCAAGGCGTCGAGGATACCAGGAGTTCAAGGGTAAGTATATGGGTATAGGCTGCCAAGGCCTTGTTAATTTCTTCCAGTGTATAGGGGGAAGAACAAGGCCTTGACGGCCACTAAAAAAAAAAAAAGACGGACGGTAATTTTCCCGAATTTCTCAAGAATCTGGGACCAACAGTGGATGGCGAGATTATTTATTGCCATCCACTCGTCAAGAAAATTTTTAAAAAGCTGGCGAGAGGCAAAAGTGATTGCCATATTAAAGCCCGGAAACCACCGGATAAGCCAGCCAGCTACCGCCCGATATCACTTCGATATCATTACGAACAAGCCGATGGATAGGGTTCTACGAGCCCGCCTCACGTCGACCATCGGGGAAACTCTGCCGAAAGAACAGGCTGGTTTCCGCCCCGAAAGAAGTTGCTGCGATCACTAGCTCTCATAAGCCATGTCGAAGCCAGTTTCCATCGGAAACAAAAAAACCGACATTGCCGTGATCGATCTCTCCTCTGCGTACGACACCGTATTGGAAGAATGGTCTTAAAGGATCGACAGTCATCAGATGTCGCTGCACGATTCGCCTCAGCCGCCATGTTGGCGACCGGAAATACCGAGTTATAATGGTAAAGGTAACGGATCCCGTATAATCAATGACGGACTACCACAAGGTTTTGTCCTTGCTCCGTCGCTCTTTAACCTCTACATGAGCCATATGACCCGGCTAAAACCCCGGAACCCGCCCTGGGTCACAGCTATTGCTCTCGACGCGTCCTCCTTCGACCTGGAGGAACAGTGGAAAATCATGTGAGAGGTATAAATTCTACCGTGTGATTTTCCATCTCACATCCCCATCCTTCATTTTTTGCTTCAGCTTGGGATTGAAATCCCATTGATCTGTTTTCATTTAAGTAGACCGTGTCTTTTCCTTATTCACTCTGTCCTAGATCAGCAAGCAAGAAGGGCAAGGTGTCGTGGGAATACGAAGTGAGCAAAGGAACGGCGCTGATTTTCAGCATCAATAAGTTCCTAAATGGGAAGAAACGGAAACTTAAGGATCTACCTGGCTACAAATATGATACGGAACGTCTGGAAAAATTGTTGCCGAAACTAGGCATCGACCTCTATGGTGGCAAGATACACGAGAACAAGAAAACCAAAGAGATCGAATCCATCGTAAAGGAAGGTAAATCCATCCCATTACTACATTATAAATACAAAAGCATGCAAGTGGGTTGGAGAACAGGGACGCATGAAACGAATTATAGAAGCCCTGATACTTTTAATATGTTGGCCATTCTGCGACTTATGTACAGGGTAGCCAAAAAAGATACCAAGCTATAGACTTGAACATGCTGTAATTCAGGCTGCAGTGCCTTGGTTTGAGTAAGCATTTAGGCACGCACGAAGCAACTCCTTTGCAGCATATATATAATTATATGTTATGATATCACAAGTTTTTTGTTTCATCAGGATGAAAATGGACGCCTTCATTCAGAAAATTGCTGCAACGATCCCCGACTTCCGTTTGAATTGGAGCAGCGACAATCGTTCTTAATAAGAACACCTTTCATTTCCTTCATCAATGTTTTAAGATGATTCTTTCTTTTCCCGCATTTTTTTTTTTTGCTTAAAGAAAACAATGCCTAGCAATGACAAAACAATGCCTAGCTCCTCGCATGAAGACGAAGAAGTGGTCTCATTCGTAAAGTTGATGCTAAAGTTGATGCGACAGGATGAGCAACGTGAAAACAAGGTAGTGGAAGGCCGAGGACCCAAAGAACTGAAGAGAATGATGAGGAATTCTAAATGCGCGCGTTGAGTCGGGAGGATAAACCTGGAAGTTCATTTTACCAGAAAATTCATTCAACACCTGCAAGGTCTTGGTCACCGCCAAGTCTTAATGCGAGTAGCTAGGCATTGTTTTGTTTTAGTAAGAAAAAATGTGGGAAAAAGAAGAAACACATCTTAAAACATTGATACCGAAAATTAAATGTGTTCTTATTAAGAACAGTTGTCGCTACTCTAACTCAAACGGAAGCAGGGGATCGTTGCAGCAATTTTCTGAATTAAGGCGTCCATTTTCATCCTGATGAAACAAAAAACTCGTGATATCATAACATATAATTGTATATATGCTGCAAAGGAGTTGCTTCGTGTGTGCCTAAATGCTTACTCAAATCAAGGCACTGCAGTCTGATATACAGCATGTTCATGTCAATAGCTTGTTTTTTTTTATAGCTACCCTCTACATCTGAACTTTTCGAACATCTGATGTCAATGTACTTCGATTGCTCGGAAATTAATGAGAATCGTTTGTAAATTTGTAATTCTACTGGCAGTGGACTTCTCACTGCTCAGGCATTTAGATCAATATGTAATCTCTGTGATTGCCGATTTTGAAGTCGATCCGTTAAGTAGTGCTTAGAGAGCAGACCTAGACCTCAACAAAGACAGCTCTATGAGCTCAGTGCAACGCGGGCTGTTTTCAACAATTTGGCTCTAGCTACAAGTAGTGTAAATTGTTGAAAACAGCTTCCGGCCAAATTGTTGAAAACAGCCAGCGTTGCACTGAGGTTTTAGGTGTCTTATGAGGTCTGCTTTGTACGCACTTCTAAAGGGACCTATTGAAAATAGGCAATAACAGAGATTCAATGTTGATCTAAATGCATAAGCAGTGAGAAGTGCACAGCTATTAGATTAGACAGCTATTAGCAGTCGGATTAGTCAAAGGCCAAGGCCGTTCTTTCCTCGTCCGGCATCGAGTGCGGTTCACTATCGAATGTGACGGCATACGGAGCGTTTATCTTAGTCTTAGATCATGGTATTCGGGTTGACCAAAAGGGCACGAAGGTATGGCAAAGAAGACTCTCGACAAGGGATTGTGAAAAAGTCACTGAAGTTATTCGCCTTGATTTCATGAAACTTCCGCGCATTTTTCTTCATCCACATCCCAGAGATCTTCCAAATTAATCCAAATTGTCTTTGCCGTGGACATGGACATCAACAGAAGGGAGACAAGAGGATACAAAAGAAAACTTAAACCAATTTATTCTTTGGGCAGACCATCTCATGTAGATATTTTACATAACTCATTGAATCATCAGTTTTTTTTTTTAATCAATACATCTCCGAGTTTCTCCTGTATATTCTTCCGCAAGTTGGCAGTTGTAGACTAGGTACTCCGAGATGGGTGAATTCCCCGTCAATGTACGAGGGACAGCCAAATGAAGACCGGAAAAGGGTTATTACTTGGTCTCTAATCCATTGCAATTGAAATGACTGCGCTATTTTTCAACATAATCCCCCACAAAAGAATGCACTTGCACCAACGTGAAACCAGAGCCTGGATGCCTTCAGAGAAAAAATATTGTGGCTGACTGCCCAACCATTCATGCACTGCTGCCTGAACCTCCTCAGTTGACGTGAAATGCCGGCCACCAAGAGCTTGCTTGAGTGACCCAAGCAGGTAGAAAGTCACTCGGTGCCAAGTAAGGGGGAATATGGAGGATGTGGCAACATTTCAAACTTCAACGGACCAAGCGCCGTGGATTGCTCTCTAAAGGCGTCTGCATACAGTAGGACAACGCTCGCCCGCACACTGCACAAAACACCAGGACAACCCTGCAGACGTAGTCGGGAATGATTTGGATGCAATATGAAATAATGAATGTCCTTAATACGGCAAGAAGATAGGAATACATATAGTCAAATGAGACATTAATAAGTTGAAACTTAACGCCTGAAACTTTGACATACCTTGGTAAAAAGTACATAAAATACATAAAGTACATTTATATAAAAACTTTGAAATAATTGAGTTCCCTTAAGTTTTGTATCACTGAGTGAAGTCGCAAATATCGCACGCGATGCGATACTAAAATCTGATTAGAATATACGTCACTATTTAAGTTCTTCTATGATTGATCTTTGGGTAGAAACCCAATAACCATATCCTAAGTCAATGCTTGGAAGTCCTAAAGTCTCTTGGATTTTACTTCACAAGTTCAAAATCACGTCTTCGAGGACCAGAGTTGTTTGGTGGTCATCTTCATGAGTCACGGATTTGAAAATGGGACCCTGTTCACTTACGATGGTATAATCAATCTTCAAGACCTATGGCGGCCTTTCATTCCTACGGATTGCTCATCACTCAAGAACAAACCTAAGCTGTTCTTCATCCAGGTTAAAATATTGTTAATCTTCCTGAAGTAACCTCTGTGTGAACTTATGAAACCCATAGAGATTGTATGGTCTGTTTCACTTCAGGCATGCCGGGGTTCAAAGGACGACATTCCTTGTAGCGTCGCTGAGAGAACTGACCTCGACTTGGAGGATGCGATTCCTCATCAAGCGGATCTCCTTATATCTCAATCTACCGTTGAAGGTTCGTACTATTGAAACGCAAGACATCGCGGAAGTGAAAACTTTCACTTAAAGTTGGAGAAATGGGGGGCGGGGGAGGAGGATGGAGAGGACCCAACTGCAAGGAACTTGACCTTAAAGTAGCTAAATCGGATGATAATCCATCATCATCTAGTTCGAGACCCAGTCGACACAATAACGTCTTTTCAATGCTGAGCGTAGGCTGCTTTCCCAACATAGAAATGTTACCACAGTGTTGAAGAAAAATAAAATTCAATATTTCTCCAACGTTGTATTGGAACAGCTCACCGATTCAAATACGCCTGCGTTGTCAACGTTCAAACTGCAACATCTCATTGCAATCTGTATTTCCCCAATACTTAATTGTGCTAATATGATGATTTCGTCTGGTTCATTTACTCTGTCCTACTGAGAGATTGAAGGTACTCCAGAAAGTACTGTCATCCGAGAATTGAACGCATGTGAGAAAGCAGATTTCTCTACTGCAGGGGTGTCAAACTCGATTAGATTCGGGGCCGGATGGAAGCCTTCAGGGGTGATTAGGGCCAACAACAAAAATATAACACCTCATCTTTAATGCGAACAGGCTGAAATTTGCAGTTCTTTTCCGTAACCAACTGTTGAAGAGGACTTCGCGGGCCGGACAATGACACCCCTGCTCTACTGCATCAATTGCCAAGTGTAACCAAGAGAACACCTAGTTCTGACCAGAAGATGAATAAAGTGTATAGCATCCATCCTCTCCGAATCAATCCCTCCACAAAGAAAATCCAAACATTTCTTACTCCAGGAGCCTTAGTTTTCTATCAGAGCGTTATTTTTTTAACTTGGAAGAAAAAACTTCATTAAAGCAAGAGAAGAAAAAACTCAGGATTATCACAAAAAGGCATACAAAATTCTTATCACTAAATACTGCGTTGTGCAAAAATTGGATGTGTTGTGCAAATTAATTTTAATATTCCAAGTTAATTGCCAACAATGATTCAAAGAAAACAAGGAAATCAGAAGGTTTAATACCATTTTTTTTTCTCGGGATGAGTCTGATTCCAACCCTACTTTCAAAAAGAGCAAGGCAGCTCTGTGGTTCCCTTCTGATCCCGGCATGGGTAGGGGTTGTGAGGGATGATAGCAAGAAAACCGAGGGTAGCCCTGATGAGGTAATCATAAGTCATTTGCATCGCCAGTGTATCTTTGGAAGCCTACGGTAGTGACGTCATATCACTAGCATGGATGACTAGGAACCACAACGTATGCCAGAATTCAAGTCTAAAGAATCTCTTACAAATTATTTCATGAACTTTCAATTGGGTTGAATTCATGTAATTATTTTCAGAGCACAAGTCCTGGCTGAATCGTCACGAGGGTTCATGGTATATCCAGACCTTGTGCGACGTTCTTGAGGAGCGTAAGGATCAGGACTTGCTGCATGTGCTGACGATTGTGGGAGACCGGGTGGCTGCAAATTTCGAGGCAAACAACGACAAAGGTCAAACAGTGAAACAAATGCCATCTTTTACTTCCACCCTCAGGAAGCTATTCTACTTTCCCACTTCTTAGAATCCCTTCCAGGACGCCTACATTATGCAATGTACCAAATCTTCCCGATTCCGTACAAATGACATAACCCTTGTTTTCTAAATAATGTGACGGATGAGGATGGCATCGAGAGGCACGACCGAATGTCCCGGGATCGGCGGTGTAGTGGTAGCACACCTGATCGGCAATCAGGAGGCCCGGGTTCAAGTCCTGGCCTTCCCTGGCTTTCTTTCGTCCTCTCATGCCGTCCGTCTCCGATTCCCCCTTCGTAACAATGATGTAATTCCTTGAGAACGCCGTGAGTGTTGTTTATTCGAAGTTTTGCATGGATATTCATCACATGTTCGTTGTTATCACTGAAATCGATTGATTATTCTTGATTTGATCTCCGCGTTGTATTATTGGCCAGTTTCATACTGAGTATAAATTTGTCTTTAATTCTCACTGCATTTTATTGCAATGAGAATTAAAGACAAGTGCTTAAGGATAGCAATCAGTGAAAGAGAGACAGAGAGCTTGGTCTTGGTTGATTTTGCTTAGATTCAATCCATAGGGTGGGCCAAAAAAAAAAACAAAGCTAACTTTTTTGGTAAGTTGTCACTCTGTATGATGCCGATTTTTATTAAATTTGGTATATGCATAGGGTGACTCTATTAGGGTTTGTGTCAAGTTTCAAATAAAAATTCCAAAAACTATGAGATTGGCATTTAATTTACTTTTCATTACCAAAAAAGTAAGTGTTCATTTTTTCTTTCAGCTTAAAAATTCCCACAAATGACAAAAACAAACAGAACAAAAACAGATGCACAAATGCCAAACACGAAAGCACACAATTTGGTTTAGGGACGTACATTTCAACTGAAAAGGTGCTCAATGTGCCCTCCATTCTGTTGAACGCAAGCCTCTAGTCTGGGACACCAGGGTCAATGGCTCGGTCAATGAGGCTTGAGGCAGTGCCTCCCAATCTTCCTTCGTAGCATCATGCAGGGATGGAAGGACAATGAATTCAGACCTCCCTTTCATCTTGCCCTCGAGGTTATATCGATACTTTCGACAGCACATTTTGTTGTTGGTCATCAGAAAATACTTACTCGGTCCTTGGACCGCTTCTGTTTTTGGTCTACAAAAACGATTTGGATCTCAGCGTTGAGGGTAAGATAAGTCAATTCGCCGGAGACACCAAGATAGGTTTTTCCGTAAGGGGGGAGGCGGATAGGGCTAGAGTCGAGCGAGATTAAAGTCTGTTGGACGAGTGGAGCAAGAAATGGCACGTGAGGTTTAATAAAAGTAAGTGTAAAGTTCTCCACGCCGGTCGAAATGACTCTCTCGACACGTTCGGCGAGGTTAAATTGGATGAGGCAAACGGAGAGAGAGATTTAGGTGTTTCTATCGACGAGGACCTCAAATTTTCCTCGCACGCGCAAGCGACGGTGGCCAAATGCAACAGGATTCTAGGTTACAATCGTCGTTCGGTTGCAAGTAGAGCATCTCGTGTTATTCTTCCGTTGTATGCGGCGCTGATAAGACCCCAGTTGGAATATTGCATCCAATTNGCTCGACCTCGACACGTGATATCGAAATGGGTGAAATCGCCTCTTGATATAACTAACTATCTTGAATCTTGAATCCGCGTTTATGACTGGACGACGGATCGATAACGATATTATCGTATATTCCATAAGCAGATTTGCGGTCGTATCTTTGCTGAACGCTGGTGCTTGCTTGGGCTTTCATATAGGTGGCATTTTCTTGAATGCTTATACAGCTGCCTTATATGAATGAAATTATTGTAATTAAAGTGCGGGTCAAACATTTACAGACCTGCTGTGGACCTCATGGCCTCTCTCCTGCACGCCAAATTGGAATGTACTATGTACTACGGACCCGCCACGTTTCAGTTTTTGGTGTTGCACTTGAGCCCTTATCTAGAATTCCAAATCGAAAAAATGCTCAAACTTTTTGCCCGACTCCTGGAGAAAGGGCCTTTAATCTGTTTCATATCTCATTTGAACTCAAAACAAACTTATATTGCTCACAAAAAATCTTCATGAAGAAACGAACGATTCAACTGAACTGGACCCCTTTGTTGACCGAGTTTGCAGTCGTCAATGATGCAATTCCCCAATGGACAACAGCTTGTCCATTAGTCCATTTCGTTCCGAGACTTGTTTCTCTAGGAATATTTTTTTTTATTCGAAAGCGAGCGCCTGGAGGTGAGGACGTATTAGCTCGTTCATTTGTCAGCATCGAGGATATACTCATTTGGAGCAAAAATTCGGGACGACAAAATGTTATTAGACTCAGTGACGTGATGGAGAAGCAGAATCGGCGCAACCCTCGAGCCAGAGCTCGAGTGATCCCAGTCTCCCGATCAGACGAAAAATATCCGTTCTTCCACCGATGTCGCTTGATTGCGGCGGTTGAGGCTCGCAGACGCGGCCCCGTCCTCGCCGGGTGTCTTTCCCGTCACCGGCTCCTTTCCCTTGACCCTCTCCTCTCTCGGAGTTTCACAGTGGGCATGCACCAGTGCTGCGCAAAATCGTGTTGCTCAGCTTTCTGGGAAGTTTATTCTTTTATATAATATTTGAGACGCCATTCGGAAAACATCGATTTGAGTAACAGCAGGAACGAGCTTTTGGCAAAGATTCATATTTTTTACAGTAATTTTGTATTTTTGACTTCTGTCCTATTTTTGAATTTTTGACTTCGTTGTAGAAATCGTTAATAATATCGTTTTAGATCACGCAATCGATATGAAAATGTACGACTTTGATCTGCAACACCTATTAGGGAAGGGATTGCCAAGCTACAAATTGCCAATAGGTTCCATTATTTAAATTCGTAATCGCATTTTCCCGGAATAGAACATACCGGTTGGAGCTTTTTTCCGCATGAGAGAGCGGAAAAGATTGCTGGACCTGCTCCGTAGGGTCTGATAAATGCTCCGATTCGGCGCTTTCGTCCCGAGCGGTTGAATCGTCTGGTAGTCGTCCGATATGCTCTGGTATATGCTCTCCTACGAGAAACCAAAATTTCATCGTCTTCCAAACTCGTTCTCTCGCGAAGAGATGGGCTTCTCACGTAAAGGCTGCGGGACGAGACGGAAACGTGTGAGGCGATGTGGGCCGTGGAGGGGCTGGGCGGTTCCTTTCGCAGGTGGGCCGTGCATGCCGTGTACGGCAGGTTTTCGGGCACGGACACCGTCCAGTACAGGTCCGGTTGGAGCTCTGGCGTCACGGAGAACATGTTGTCCACTATCAAATACGACGTCTGAGAGGAAAAAAAACAAAAACATTTTCGTTCCCATCGATCCCTCGTACCGATACGCGCAAGGGTATCGTCTTCGATCGATCACTGCTCGGGTTGTGGGCCGTCGTGTGTAGTGATGAGCAACGGAAGCGGTGGCGTAACGATGGACCGCAACTAATTCAACTTAACAGCGTTATAGTTGCGATTGGTTTATCTAGCGTCGGCATGCGATGCAACACCGAAGAAGTTCTACATTAAGTATTGGGTTGGAAAGAAAGTCTTGCAACACTGCGCAAATTTTTCAAAATTGTATAACTTTATTGAAATGCAATTTCAGTCTACAGTGTAATGACCATTGTTGTCTATGAAATGTTCCCAGCGCACGGGTAACTGCTCGATGCCCTTTGCCCA